TAGTAACCTCAGTACCTATTCCGCTGCTTTGTCCGATGATAAACAATTCATAATCCTTTGCCATTGCTTGTAAGATTTTGGATGTCTCGGATCCATCAGAAACCGCTTTTTCTAGGTATATCACATTTTCATCGTTTTCTCTGACGTTGGACCCAATAATGTTATTCACGGTCTCCTTTAGGTTACCCACTCGCAAGGTCCCCTCCAACTCAGGGTTCTCCATTTTATATGATGCTGGAATGAATCTTATGATAGTTACACTTATCCGTTTTTCGGTCTGTCTCATTCGATTTGCTATCGCTAAAGCCTCCTTATCGTCTTTTCCGCCATTAAAAATTAAACAGATCTACGAAACCAAAAAAAAAATCCAACAATTTTTTTCAGAATATTAAACTTTTTTTTTGTTAATTGTAAATGCCGCATTTGGCTTTTGCATTTACACAATGTAATAATATTTTCTATAAAAAAAAAAATCAGTTTCTTATTTTATAAAATTCTAATTTTTTTAATTTTCACTATACCTTGTGTCGCTCTGTCATATGAAATTCCACGATGGGTTTGCGATGGATGAAGATTCCAACGGAGCAAGGAGCTCGTTTTAGGACGTTAAGGTTAAGCATTCTCAACGTATCATCGTTGGAAACGACTGTGGATCTGTCAATGGACCAGGTTCGATGGAAAGGAAGTAAGATCAGAGATAGGCTTTTGGATAGGGCTAGCCAACAAATGTCCTCATGCATGTGTTTAGACATGGAGACGGAAGTGAAAATATCCAATGATGTACAATCAGAGAATTCTTTGTGGAAGCGACGGAAGGAGCTTATGACATTGTCGGAACAAGAAGTACTTCCTGGCTCTGGTTGTTGCAGCTGGTGGGAAATGAACATAGGACTGGCTTGGCCCACAAGCTCGATGAGGTGGAGTATGTTGCACGCCATTGGAGAATCTTTTGATGGGTTAAAAGTTTCCAAAAGGTCGATCATCGAAGTTATGTGATCAGGTTTGTAGACGCACACAAGAGTTTGGAGCTCTGCGCGGTCTTTTAAAATTATCAAATTCCTTTTTTGGTAGCATTTGAACCTTTTGGTTGGGTCATGGACGAGTTCCAAGGCCATTGGTATAAAGATAGAGTTCAAGAGGATGAATGTAGCCATGATTGTGAAAGCCTCTGGCCTTACATCCTGTTAAAGATGTTTACAAATCGATGTTAATAAACAAACCATATATGATATAATTAGTGATATATAGAATTGATTGTACCTTTTTTTCAACCGCAAACGTGAAGTAGGCGAGCTCGAAGATCCCCTTGTTACTAAGAACAAGGGATAGAGCAAATGAGTCTCTTAAGGGCATATTTAAAGAGCGTGCGGCTATGGTGGAAGCAATGAATTTTGTGGCATTCACAAAAAGAATAAAGGAAATAGCCTCATAAAGTTGACCCTCCATTCGTATAAGATTTCCACACTCTTTGAGCAACCATGAGAGATCTACTTGCGTCATGCTTAATGATCCAAAGAGTGGCACGAGAGCTCCAAGATTAAAACTCTCAAATTTTTGAACCAAAGTAGCACCTAAAGGATATCCGTCCGGAATAGTTAAGCCAAGAACAAACGATCCTGCGGGTCCAAACAAATGAATCTTGTGGAAAAATTGGAAGGACAAGAAAGCGAGCGCCAAAATAATGTAGATGTAAACATTCTTGACCGGCCTTCCTTCTGGAGTTTGCTTGATCACCCAATACACAGCCGGCCTCACAGCGTAGACCAAAAAAGCACAAAAGAAGCAGAAACATACGGTTTGGAAAACACCGTAAGATCCTTGCCAACGAATGGCATTCAAAAACGTTACCACAAAGGCCAACATGTCAGTCACCATGGCCCCGGAAAGGGCTATCCTTCCAAACTCAGAGTGTTTGATGTTGAGGTCTTTTAGGAGTGTGTCGATGCTTGTGAACGCAGATATGCTTTGGAAGAATATGATCAACCTGTATTCCATTGGTAACAAGCTTATATTCCCTCTTTGTATTCTCCATTTGAACAAGAAGTTGCCACAAATCAAGGGTACAACCATTGTGGTGAGCCCGATCACACTAGATTTTTTCTCCATCCTCAGTCCCATTCCGGGATCCATGGTCACACCTTTTAGGAACCAATAAAAAAGGAAACCGAAAGCGCCTAGAGTCTCGGGGATCTTTGGTCGCTTATCATAAGGGAAAAATATGTCACGGAGCCAAGAGTTGTTGCCTAAATGACAAGTTAGGTCTAAGATTACCCCTGCCTTCAACAACAAGACATATATTACATTTAGACATGCATCGTAAATCATTTAAATAGAAAAAGCATTGGGAGGGAGATTAAGAAGAAACTCACGATCATCATATAGGTGAATCTAGGTACTCGAAGACCGATTTTGTTGCATGACCAATCAAGGAACCGCCATATAATATAAGTAGAAAACATTATGATCTCGAGATTCGGGAGCGGATATTTCCAGAAACTCATACCTCGTGACTTGTAAGTCAATCTCTCCCATATCCCATACGAGTTTAACATGTAAGGATGTGCCTCGCATATGCGAGAGGCGTTCTTGTCTTCTATGTAGCCTCGCCATGCCACATCCAAATAATTCATGTGTAAACTTTGATTCATTTAATTAGGGAAATAAGCATTAGCGAAGAGAAGCTATGGGATCAAGGTATAATGGAATGTGTTAGGGTTTGTACTTCCATTTCGGGAAGAAGAAGACTTGGAAAGGAATTTGTTACAAAGATTTTGACTTAGGATAATAACTAAACTTGCAATAACCAGCAAAGAAAAGATATGCATTGATCTCAAGTACACGTTTTTGTTTTCTTTTTATAGCACTATTACTCTCCATCCCTTGTCAAGATTAACACGTATGATTTTACATCGTTTATTACAACTAATCAACGTTAAAGCTACGACTCTATATTTTTAGAGAACTTTGCACCCACTTTTCTCAGATAATATTTGTGCTTTTAAACGGTCTTCAAGTTTTGGTGAAATAGGCACTTTTTACTTAATTTTGATACCCTTCATGACAGTGTGACTCTCTGTGGGGGGAAGTCAAAAATGAAAGACCAATTTGAGTATATAGCATTTTCTAGGTTTCTATATGCATTTTGACATTTTTAAGAGTGCAGATAGCTAGCACTTTTAAAGATAAAGTTACCGTTCTAATCATTATATGGTTGTATAAGTACATTGTGAAAATTGATAACATTTGGGATGTGTACGAACAATATGG